CATATATATAGTATGTATTTTGTTGTCTTTGATATTTTTCGCAAGAATGTTTGAAATGATTTGAATTGTTTAGAAATGAATTTGCAGTACGACAATAAAAAGCTCAGTTTAAATTCTAACACTTTTTTGCAATATCTATTACTACTAAAGGGCATTTTATTACTACTAAAGGTATGTGTGTCTGTCTCCGTTCGCCTTAGCGACGTGTGGGCAACCCGCCCACAGTTTCTAAAACGATATTCTATGTATATACATACATATAAGTCGCATGCATGAGAGATAGAAACATTTTTTATTACCTATCATCAATATATCGTAACGTACAAACAGGTAGAAAGAGGTAACAGGACCATAAAAAATATTAGGGATGGTTGCCAAATAGTACCAAACCTTTTATCTATCGCAGATCGATAGCACTATAAAAAGTGGTCACCCCCCGGAGCAATAGAGGCTGAGAGTTCTCGCGTGTAACATCTTGATTAAGTAATGGCGTACACCCTCAGGCATGTATAGGTCCAACCCTCGTAAAACAGCCTCGCATCCCCGCGGTTCTACTTGACGCGTTAAATGCCCCTACGCGAGAAAAACGCGTGATTTATACTCGACTACAGGACAAATCGAACGAATTTATACGACACGTAACAAAAAATGTAACAAGAACCTGTATGAATTGACGATTACAAATGGCTCGAGCCGTACTATAATTCTTTTTATCAACTTCAACTAGATTTCTGTTTAATACAAATTTTCAAACAGGTAATAAATATAGAATATCTATTGGAGGTTAATAAAAAATCTTATAATGAAAATAAGAACACTGAGGCAGAAAGTAAACATATTAAAATAGATATTCCTGAACAATATCAGGTTTTCAAGACCTTTAAAAGTTACTCTCTGCAAAGATGCTTCAATTTTCTAGCAAACTTTTTCACTCTCGGATAATTCTTAAGTAGTCAGGCTTCGAGTTTCGTACTTTACAAAATGATAAAAGTATCCAGAAATTTTTAATATAAATGAGGAGTTTAAAAAAAACCCTGTAAAAACCGATTTCTTTTATGAAAATTGGAAATATGGGCAGTATGGGCAGAGATTAATAAATCAATCGTATTAGAGACAAATATCCCAAACGATCCCTTATCAACTTTACATAATCATTAATTCAATCGCATCTCGAAGATTATTTTAATTTATACGATTCAGGATTCAGTTCTCGCTTACAAAAAGTTCACGATTATTATTTTATACAGGACATTCTTATTCACGCGGGAGTACCGACTCGAAACGAGCTCTATGGATGCAGATTACGCCGTCGGGACATGCTCTTTTTTCTAAAAGTACAACCACTTTAAGAGAGGAACGGTAGGAAAAAAAGACAGAGAATATCAAGTTGAACGCGAGAAAGGCGTCTCGATAAACCTGCACTTCTCACTCTTATCAGTCATGAATACAAATGAACTAATTCGACGTAAAAGCACGAACAACGGATTTTCTACGAACGTTACAAACCTTACGCTCCTTTCAAAGTATTCTACAATACCGTTTCCAACCATTCCGATAAGATGAGCAGAATTTGCGAGATATTTTGCATTATTTCCATCGCGAACATTTTTGTTTTACGTTTTCGGTGTTTGTTCAGTAGTTAGCAAATAACAAATCGTACATTCCGCAGCTTTTAATATTTTCTAAAGAAATTAAAAAAATTAAGTTATTGCAAGCATTTTAAAAATACAAACTTTTTCCTGATGAAAAACTACAGGAAACCAACAAGTAAGTTTAAAGTTCCTATGTTAACGTGCAACGTTGAAACGAATTATAATGAGATGGATCGGTTGAAACTTGAATCCCATCAATCCATTCAGTCAAACGAATACGCGGATATGAACGGCGGCGTGCCGCTAAATAATCTCTGTCGCGTTCCCGGTGTCGCGCAAAACAAATTTTGGGACCAGTTCGGTTTAATTTTCGGACGCGGTCGGCAAACTTTATCGCTGCACTAATTACCAGCCGTCGCGCAGGCTCATGTTTATTAATGTTGACCCGCTCTCTCGCGCGTGTTTACTACGGAATCGTGTAAATGTTGCGGTCGCATGATAATCACTGAGATCAACGGCTATTTATGAGCCGGGAAATTTTCTCTACAGGGAGCATATGTCAATCTCCTAAAAAATTATAGAATCGTATTAAACCACTGAGGAAAGCCCTCTACATATTTTGTATTCATCCTAAAGCTCGACAATAGAACTATCGGCGATTGACGTTTGCCGGAAGGGTCAAAATAACTTGTTTTTCAAATTAATAAGTCATAAGAAAAGACATAGCAATTTTAACGGTTTTATGAGTAAAAATTGAATAATAATCTGATAATAATAATAATATAATAACAATAATTTTCAAAATAATTACGCTTTCAGCCTACGTTCCGTGAGCCAAAATGACTCATTGCGGTATATGGAGATATACTGCATAAAATTTTACACCAAGAAGACAAAAAAAGAGAACTGTTTTACAGAATTAGTTATTTGCATATTTTAGAGAAAGTCGTACAAAATTTTAGAAAATGAATAATAATTATAAGAAATGTTAAACAAGTCATTTTTACCCCATTGCTATATCTGGTGTTAAAGCCTTAGAATATTCTATTTAAAGATTTAAGGGAATAACAGTGTCATTCGTTCGCATTCTTTGAGCATCATTAAACTAAAATATTATACAGCTAAAGCGGAAGAGCAATTTACATCGCGTTGTCATCTCAAATAGAAATCATAAGCTGACGTACAGAACCGCGAGAAGGGGTGGTGCATGAGAAATAATGGGTGCAACGTATACGGGACCACGCGAACGGTGAGGTGTTAATAGCTGAAGGTGGGTACTGACGATGCTTTAATATGATTGACAGCGCGAATGGATAATTAACAGCCGAGTTGCTTTCACATGCAGCTAGCAAGAGAGCACATGCGACGCTGAGGGGGCGGCGTATTTAGTGCGGCTAGGCTCTCGCTACTATAACACGGTTACCCTAAGTTTAATTACTCCAACGGATATTCGGGGAGGTGCTGATAGCGTTCGGTCGCTGCTCGCGGCCATTCGGACGCCAAAGAACACACGTTTGGCCGAAAATTAATTATCGCCGCCGCCGTCTCTGAGAATTGTCTGTGTGTTCAATGCGAATTTTCAATAATGAAATAGAGTTAGGTGGTCCGGTCCAATTGAATTTCAACGTCTTAAGAATCAAGCTTGAATTCCACTGGAATTTCTATACGGTTATTCTGACTTCTGTATTACAAATACATAATTTTACACATTTGTCTCTTATCTCCACCCGCCTAGCACTTTTCCTTTGAAAGAACTATTTGAATCCGGGAAATTCATATTCTTTGATTAAATCAGAGCAAACTTAAAAACTGATTCGACAGAAGTAAAAGCGTGAACCGAATTTTCTCGGCCAACAAAGACGAGAATCCATAAAGGTGGATGGCTGGCACTCGACCCGCGAGGTTCTTTTAATTCGTTCGTTCAGAACACGGAATACGTATATCATGCCCTTAACCTGAATTTTTTTTCCTCTCTTCCAATTTACCTTTCAAACTGCAGGTCGATACGGAACCGGAAAGGGTCCTGGCATGATTGGTCACGGCCAGCAGCAAAGGTGTGGCCGTGATGAAGCTCCTCGACTTCGGCACGAACTCCTTTTGCACCGCGTAACTACGCGTGCGTCGCCGGAAGATCGGCGAGTCCAGGAAGCTGTCGTCGTACTGTGGCATTATTAACAATCTCGGATCACAAAACACCTCCAGCACGGATCCTGAATGCACTGTCTCTTAAACCGCCCCATTTTCTCGCACAAACTTTCAAATACAGTACTTTTTCCCATGATGCACCAACATAGTTTGTTCAATAATCAGGAAATTGCTTCAATAAATAAGTCCGTGGCTGTGGAACTTCATTGTATTATTTATTCACCAACTTTACTAGTTACTTTCTAATACGCGTATATATTTGGTTCACTTTTAACTTCGCAATAATAACTTTTATAAAATGCATATGTGGTAAAAAATGAAATATTTAAACAAGGCTTGCGTTCACTCTCCACGATCTAATAAACCTAATCTATACCAGCGTTATTTCAGAACCACGTGCAACTATTTATAATATTATAGAAACTTCTCAACTTCGTCATTCAATTAGTCGTCGACCACTAATCAGTTGCACAGTAGGTGGATTCCATTTCGCATAAAAACAGCCTACTAATTGATACCACGTTCTATTTGGATACGCATATTATACACGATCATACGTGCGTTTATAATGATATTATGTATTTACTTGGATTGCTACTCGTTATCGGTAATGGCGTTAAACTGTATTCTTTGATCTCCAACAGAACGTTAAGTACACATGTAATTGCGGATGATTTCATGGACTCCACTGTTTCACGAATGACTAGAGTCCGCACTGTAAACAGATAACGCGTCGAGCGACAATATAACATTTGCTGAACTTTAATTCCACGCGCAATTAATGATACGTGCTACAATTTTACGATAACGTCGCGATTTGAATAACGAACGATTACTCAAGCCGTCACATGATGGCTAACTTAATTCTTTGTGAAAATGAACATAGCCGGAAAATTTCATTCGATCTCTTCGTGCATTTAACGACTGTCAGTTCGAATGTTAAATATAACAATAATTAATACTAAATAAAAAAAGGCAGTGAATACGTGGTTTAGGGGATCCATTTTGACCTTGAAATAATTTTCACAAGTTATACAAACGTGATCGATGATCGATCACGAAAATGGGAAAAGCTAGATACACGGATGTACAGATTGAGCCTGACCGATGACAGTACGCCTAAATATACGTGCGATGATACATTTAGCAGGCTCGAGTACTACACACAAAGTAGAGTACCGAGGCATATTCGAGTTCCCGGATGTCTATTTTAAAGCGACGAATTCTCCTTTACATCTCTTATCGCTTCCTAGTCTTTCATATTAATCTCATGAATTACGGCAATTAATGTTTCTTCATCTTCCTCTATCATCTCAGAAAAGTGATATTATGACACGATATCGCGGGAAGCATTGATAATGGAAAGTACGAAATTATATCAATTTGTTTATCGATAAATCTAAAACTGAATATATACGTATAATTCTAGATCAGTTTCATGTTCGTAGCATAGAATACCAATACGAATAGTATATATGTACTAAGAATTTCTATTAATAAGTAAATATTGAAGTAAATGGAAAAATTATTCATTTTGACTGATTAGCAATAATTTTGGACATTAATTTATTATAAATGCAATTTGTTCTAGAAAAGAAGAGTTTTTTTTCACTGATCAATGAAAAGGTAAGTAGGAACTCTGCCCGGTCAGTTTGGCAAGCTTCCACAACGAACGACATGTGATTACTGGAGCGGAGTTCGTCTCTAGCTTCGCGCTTCCTCGATCGCTTTTACTATAATAATACTTTCCGTAGTAGCGTACATGATTCGATACGAGGATCAGGAGGTCACTCGTGTAACTCGTTCCACGGTGGGTTGAGCACAAGGACCGGGTTTTTCTGGATAGTTTGCTTCCTACCCTGTGTGGCAAATTATCGAGTTCTCTGACAATATTTATACACGGGCTCATGAGTTCGTGCCTTTGTCGAAGAAACGGAACGTAGCTCGATAGAGGCTACTGGTAAAACAAGTGTAAAACGAGCAACGAAAACTACCAATAAATGGGTTGTGGGTAACAAATTTAAAAGCTTCGACGAATATTTTCTGCGATATCACATCTAATTTCTCCTCAAAAAGCATCGTGGATTATCTAAAAACTGTAACAAATATCACAGATCAAGTAAATATAAATTTAGTTTCTTCATGATGCAAATAAATAACGTTTATACGTTTGTTCGAGCTTGAATAGTAAAGGCCGTTTAGGAAATGATAAATTTCCGCGACGATCCATTATCGAACGACAAAAGCAAGAAATTAGTGAAAATTGGACGAGGGCACCCCCGATGGCAATTATTCAACGTTATTATGTTGGTCTTACGATCACGCGGAATCCGCGGGAATTCCGTGGCACGGGCCAGGAGATATCCTGATTAATAATAATTAGCAGTGATGAACTTGCGACCCAGTTAAGTCGAGTCGGCTTTCCGTCGTCGTCGTCGCGCCCAAGGCACACTCCCCGTTATTTTCGGAGTTCGATGGACCACCGGTGTAGTAAATCGAGACCGTGATTCGCCTGGCCGCACCAACTCGTCGAAACGATAAACGTGTTTTTCACGTGACGGGTTCGTCAATATTAATCTGGAAATACGCGTGACGATACCGACTTCACCTACGAAAATAAAATCCCGACAATTTCAACGTAAAATATCTCTGCGCTTGTGCATCCTTGTACTCTTTCAAATTCTTTATCGTACTTTTTCTTCTGTTACATTTAATCATTACATTCATCTTTTATTTACCCTCTCAAAAGGGATTATTTCCTTTTTTAATCAAGAGAATATTTTTCGTTTAATCAGCGTGAATAAATAAAGTAAAAAAGCAGACTCACCGGCTGGAAAACAAATACCGCTATAATTAAAGTATCGAAACGACGAGGAATTTAATATACACGAATTCAAGTTAATTGCTCGTACCAGGTGCACTACGTTGTGTTTACCGTTTCCAGTTCAATCAGGTTTTCGAGTGAAATCAATTTCGTGCTTTTCAATTCTTTTTTCTCATTAATTCTCGGCGGAACATGGACGTTCATCACATAGAGAATATCACAAACAAAAATGTTTTGCATCAATCTCTCTAACGAAATTACTTAATTAATTTGTTCATTCCGTACTTAATACTTAAGAAATATAACTATGACTTCGTTAATATTGTCTTGCATCGTCAGTAAACATTTTAAGAAATAAATTCCTTTTAAAATTGTGGAACCCAACAATTAAACTGAATAAACGTAGACAAGGAGAACAGAATATTTTCTATTAAAAAAATTCCGGTAACATGTGATGACACGCATAATAATATTTGCGGAGCATCGTGCATCGCGGATTAAAACGCAGATCGGTCGGCTCCGCTAACTAATCGAGCCTTGATCGCTTATTACGCGGCATCTATGTTCCATTTGCTCTAGATCGTACGGCATGTCTCGGCCAATGTAGGTCGTATAGAGTATCGTGCAAAGAAATCTTTTAATCGCTAACTTACGATCGAACCCGAGGAAGTGGATCGAGAAGAACGGGCAAGAACGCGGTTAATTGCGGGAAGCACCACTTTAGTTAAACGATATCGACTAATTGAAAATGTACCTTTGTCGATTGTGAATAAATAGACCGAGAAGCTTTCATAGACATTGTTTTGATAAAACAATTGCACTTGGAAACGTTGCGAGAATGAACGCATTCCTCGACTCCGGTGTTGCAATACTTTTTGCACAATAAATCTTTACCGCGATAAAAATAAAAATATCAGGGTCGAAGTTTTACTTTCGACGCGACTCGAGTTTGAAATTTTATCGATTCGAAGCTAGACGAAGCTCCGTCTTGGCGGAAGATCGCGGAAGAACTAAAGACCGAGGAGCTTCGCCTCTGACGTAACAGTGTACACACCATCAGCTCGAGTTTAGATCAATTCGTCTCACCATAAACGAGCGTCGAAGAGAGAAGTCGTTCAAACCAAATTCTCCGATTCTCTCATCAATTTTTTTATCACAGACTTCGTTACTTTTTTTCGTAACACCGACACGACTGTTTATTTTTGACATTGCCAATTCCGGAATTGCAATTCTTCCACAAATGACGCCATCAGCGATCATAGAAGATGTAAATGACTTCATACACTCGCACGAACGATGAACAATCGTGATTAAGAAGGATTCGTCAGACGATGTACACTGATCACTGAACTATCTCTAAACCAAACTTCCATCACGATGACACGCAAACCAGATCGAGTTACGGATCTCGGAGATCTGAAACGTTGAACAATACGAACGTCACCAAAGGCGTCTCGCCGCGATCTCCTTTGCAGAAAATTTTCACATCTCTTCTCACGGGGAGGAAAAAGGGAAATTTGGCTATCAGTTCTTGCGCAAATAAGAAACTTCGTCGCTGTTCTCCACGAGAAGAAAACTCGTCACACTTTTAACGCAAGAGGGAAACATAATGTTCCTCGGGACAAAGGGAGGTCTTGCCATGATTGTCCGCGCGAAAGGGTACGTTCGTTACAGTTTCTCGTTATTTTTCCACTGGCCGATTTGTAGACGAGCGCGTGGTACGTACGTCGCAAGCACTGAGCGTGAATCTGCTCGGCGGGATCGTGTTTCCGAACAGGTCCCGTCGCGAGCTACTTAAACGTCAGAGAAGAGGAGTAAGAATGAGAGACGGGTTCGTTCGCGAATCGGAGGTGAACCGTTGTTAGCAACCATGGACCGTCCACTGCAAGATCGTCCGGTAATATCTGTGACTTTGGCCGAGAAAGAAGGCTTGTCTATTTTAACGGGTCAGGAAGAGGGAGAGAGAGAGGAACAAGCGAAGAGAAGACGCAGAGCGGGATGGATAGAGAGACACTAGTACAGTGGCCACTAAAAGTATTGGCATGCTAATGTATCGACTCTGACATTTAAATTTCGATTAATCAGATCAGAGAATATTACATTTTCAGCGTTCCTCTCATCTCTGGCCAATTTCACGAAACTGTAAAAATTGACTATCCGGTAAATGAAGCGCAAACGCTGATAAGAAAATATCTCGAATACTTTCCGCAGCCACTGTAGCGCAAGGGTTAACGCCGAGAAGAGGGACAAAAGACGTTCCGCGGACTCTCTTACGCCTGGTTCTTTATTTCGCCGAGCAAAAGACGTAAAAAGAAAGAAAGAAGAGAGGAGGCCGAGAAGCGGAGGAGGACGAGGAGGAGGAAGAGGCACACAATTTATTTGCGGACCCCTGCAGCACTGTGTCACTGCGAGAACTCTACTTTTCCTCTCGCTCTTTCCCTATCCGCTCGGTCACTAGCTCTGCATCTCGCTGCGACGACGATACAACATTGTCATTGCCATTGCAACCGTAGATTGGATTGGCCTCGCGCGGAGATTTCATTTTCCTTCGAACCCAGCTTTTCCCGTTTTCTCTTCGATTCCTAAGTCCCATTCTAGAATAGGGATGACGGTCACCCTCTCTAACGCGTTTGATACTGCCAATTTTATTTATTGCTCTTTTTGTACATTTTTGTATCAACGTTTTCCTATCTCTTTGTCGTCTCCCGTTTTCTATATAACTATTTCATAGTTAGAACGAAGAAGATGCAAAGAGAGAAATTCTTGCGCCATTTCATTTTCATTAGATGCGAAAAGGATCTCGCATTATCAGGATGTCAATATTTCACATAATTTTTACAAGATTGTTCTGTTATGAATCTTTTAAGACACTTTTACACACACACACATACTCCAAAACAATTTTATAATTTGTTACATAATTGCACACAATAATTCACAATGCATCTGCATTGTCTGTGCACTTAAAAGCGAATCATATCTATCATATGATTGGTCTTTTATCAGACTTTATACTTTACACAATAGATATAGACATACATATACATTAAACGAAAAGCTTAAGCATGTAACTTGAAGTTATCTATAATTCCAATAATCGTTTCCGTTCGGTAATAATATTATCGTCATCACTCACAATAGTATTACAGTAGATACTATATAAACTCACGAAAACAATTATGCATTTCAAAGATAATTTAGTTTCCAGAGAATTCCCTTTTCAATTTTCCCGAAACTCCAAAATACTTTATATCAAATGGCCTTATTAGTCTAGTATTAAATTAATTTGAAACGCTGATTCAGTTTTCAAAAATTGCCCAGATACTAATCAGATAGAATAGCTGTTAACACCAGCTTGTCAATTTTATAAGAAAGGAAAAATAGAAAGGAACGTTGAAACTTACGTCGTAGAAAAACAAATCCCACAACCATCTTGACCGAGTGTTGCCTGTCCACCAGAACCTTGCTCGACTTCACTCGCCTTTGTCGCTCAAAGACGCAGTCTAGGAACTGCCTCACTCATTAAAATTTGCGAAACAAGTACGTGCCGTGCGCTGCGACAATTGCCTCAGAGACTGCGATTATCTCGATCAGCGGAGATATCGATAATGATAACGGAACGATAACGAATGAGGCAGTGTCCATCGGGGCAAGAAGCGCGAAGAAAAATCAAGGGGTTCTAGACAATTAGATGTACCAGGAGTTAAAACCGGGATCACCGCGTGACACGTGCGTTAAACCGGTTTTCGCACGTGCACATCTCTCTAATCCGTGAGCGCTGCGCGGCGGCGTGGCGGCGTTTGCCTGGCAAAACGTGAAAACAGATGCATATTCATGAATCCGTCGCTGCAACGCACTCACCCCGTGCGCGAAACAACCCTGCTGGCTCTGTTTCTGACACTATATCGTCGGTTGATGCAGGATCCGACATACGCCTGCAGCGTTCAAACATCTAAACACCGTTTAATGATGAGCGAAACTGAATAGATAAGCACCTTCCAGAAATCAAACATTTATTCACGAATTATAATAGCTATTAAAAAAATTTATTGCACACATTACCCGTTCTGTATCATTAACAGAGCCAAATGTCGTTTTGCATTTCTTCTCATCATTATTCATTTCTGTACATTATGTTTTCTAAAATTATGTACGACTTTTTCTAAAATATGCAAATAGCTAATTCTGTAAAACAGTTCTCTTTTTTTGTCTTCTTGAGGTAAAATTTTATGCAGTATATCTCCATATACCGAGATGAGTCATTTTGACCCCCACAGAACGTAGATTAAAAGCGTAATTATTTTTAAAATTATTGTTATTGAACTATTGTTATTATCATTATCAGTTTATTACTCAATTTCCACTCATGAAAATGTAAAAAGTGCTATGTCTTTTATTATTACGTCAATCGCCAGTACTTTTAGTGTTAATATGTATAGGGGCAATATTTTTGTTGCAAATGGGTTAATGTACATTTATTTTTACTTTAATAAACGCACATTTACTACACCTTACTTAATTTTAGTCATTGAACACCTTTTCTAATTTAGTTCAACTCAATTTTTGTAGCTTGTTTTACGTTTATCCATTTTCTTTTTTTATTTCAACCTGTTTTATATTTGGACCTGTTCTATTATCAATAAATGTACGCAACCTTTTAATCTAAAAAAAACTTTTGTTCTGAAAAAATCCAGCTACGCGAGAAATACATTCGATGAGTACGCATAGTATTAAAAAGTTTCGATGTCGATGCACGGGTTCAACGGAAGGCAGGCCGGATCACCCGTGCAGAAACTTTTTTCTCACATTTCCGATACGTACTTTCTCTCCATGCAGTCCCCCGTGGCGGGTCGCCAATCACGTTTTCCTCGCATACACGTGACTACAAGCGTGGATCGTGAATGTTTTCCTGTCCCTTTAGGACCCACTATGTGTGTGCCAATGAACAAAGTTTGCTTTAATTCAACCCCATTGATTAAATCTGAAAACCCTTCAACACGCTACATACTGCGCTGTGAAATCGAGGAAAGTAATACCGTTAAAAATATTCCAATTACGCTAATCTTCTTCAGTGAACTTAATATGCATAGGATTTTATAACTTCTCATTTACATAAAGTATAGAAACGAAAATTTAATGTTATAAAAATTTAATGATATGAATATAAATTGAATAAAACTCGTTCAACTGATACAAAAACTTCAAAACTATAAAGAACATTTAACTATATAATTTTCATTTTCTAATAGTTTCCTGAGATAAGGTAATACAAGCTATTTTAACTTCGTGATTGTGAGGCACGTACTTTTACCATAACTGTATACTTTACATATCCTAGTGGCCTATTTCCGACGAGGTTTAGTGGTCTGGATGCACAGAGCATCCCAGTTTCAAGACCATTTATTATACATGTGTATTAATTTAATGTGTAAAGTATAATACACACATTATGTAAAATCGCAAAGGATTGTACGCATCCATGAAGTTTGCAGATTTTAATCAATACGAGCTTTTCTTTTCTCGGCCGTATCGGCACCAGTGTTTGAGAAGCCCTGTTCTAGACGAAGTCGTCGAATCCGCTCGAGTACCGGGTTCTGCGGGTTTTGTGAACCTTTGCACGGCGTACCATAGAATTATTTCAATGAACCGACCCGCCTAGCTGGAAATTTAATGAGAGTTCGCTTTTCAGTAAGAATTCCCCCGACGAGGCCTCTCGGATTTATTATTGACCGAGTTCGCGGCGTACCACGAACAATCGGTGACACAATTTTTCTTCCTCCCCCACGTTTTTCTGTTCCCGGTCGCGTTAACTGTTCTACGAACATTTTTACTCTCCAGAAATGCGACCTCGCGGTACAACGACACGAAGAAACTCGGTAGTTCGTGGTGCATTGCTTCCTAACGAGATTCCTGGAAAATATCGATACGCAGGGAGTAATTTGCGGAAGTGGAGACGTATATTTGCTTCCGGACACGTTTGATCATTTTCTATGTTTTCTCTTAAAAGATTAATTTACTCTCAGAGGGAGGACAAGTGGCGGGCTATCCGCAGAATTTCTGGAGAAGGTGTACGTGAGCTTCCGCAGCTCTTTTCGACCCTCGTCTACTATGCCGAGGGAAAGTGCACGGCGGAGTTGTTAATTGGGGATGCTTTTCTCCGTAAATCGTCAGGATCGGTGGCGGTTGATGCGATAAAAGGCTTTTAAACGGTTGTTCAGAAATAATGAAGGTAACGTATCCGATGTAAAATGCGAATTCCTCAATTTCACGAATGAAGCTACTGAATATAATTATCTGAACGTGATTCCTCAAAGGCTACTCTTAAAAATTGTACTCGAAATAATTATTCTCAAAAGCTTCAGAATTCATAGATAAAAATGAATGTCAAACAGAGATGCATATCTCTGACAAGAGAGGGAATATCTACACATATGCAATACATATGTATAGTACATTACAGGTTCCTAACAGTGAGCATGTCTCAGTTTCAAGACTATATCTATTGACAGGAGCAACTTGACTGGCATTTCCTTGTCAATAATTGCAACATACAACTATTGCATTTATATAATTCCTATCAGAGTATCCTATCGGAATACACACATAATTACGCATGATGTCATCATTAAAAAATTAAGTTAGTAACGGTAGAACAACCATCTCTCCCTTATTTCACCACAAATTATTTAAGTAGCACCGTGAAAGCGGATACGTTTTTGCGGTAAAAGAATTTGTCCTAATAATTTTGTAGAAAGTAGAAAGAGCACCAATTTGAATCGCGAGAAGAACATTGACAAAAACGTACAAAAAGAGCGAGCGAGCGAGCGCAAATGATCAGATCGTAAAAAGTATGTGCTACTTTCAACGGCTCGTCGGAATGATAAAAGCGTAGGTATTAAAAGTTCGATATTCCATAATGATTCTGGTTTTGTGCCGATACCTTTTCTGCATGTCACGTTCCATGGGAACCATTTCCTCTTTTTTTTTTACAAAGGCGAAAAGGAAATACGGTGTACACGCGTATGGATACGCTATGATTTCAACCGGCAACAAATCAACTCGCATTAAACGCAATTACCAGATGACGTAGGGTAACGGAGTTAGTTACTACTCGTTATCCGATGAATTGATCAAACTGTCTTTACTTAAATGTATCTGTCCATCAACCGGGCCCTACGAGGTCCAAGGTATCAACTCTGACAAATAGCACCTGTTGTTGACAACATTAAAATACTTTTAAATGCAAGTCCATTCTGGTGCGAAGGATGTTGACCTTTGAAGGCATGCGCTAATAAATAGCCGGTGGAGAACAGTTAAAATTAAAAACGAAACGGTCGACGCGAATTTTCGAATGCGAGGAGACCGCAATAACGTCGGTGTTTTCAAGCGTTTAAACACATCCTCGTGAAAATGCACTGACGCACGCGACGGCGGGGTAGAACTCTTTGTTCGAAGGGTACGAACGCAGGCTAGAAAACTCGTGACATGGGCAGCTGTTCGAATTACATTAGGCTTGCCCCCGACGCAACGCGTGGACGGTTTATTGACACACTCTCCAGGCGATCGTGTATTATTACCAGCGTCATACATTCGCTATGGAACTTCTGTCGGAGAGAGTCGACCATCGGAGCATCGGGACAAATCTAGTTTACGCAAGAGAATCAACAATATTTTCCATCTCTCGTGACCTCCTGTTCATTCGTCGTATATTCGATTATATTTCCATACTAACGAATAATTTCTTCATTCATGAATCTTGAACCGAAACTACATATTCATTGTTCTCTTTAGCCGGTCTATTAGGCTATCAAGAATTACAGAATACTGATTTTTACCAAGTATCATTCAATTATAATTAGTATCGCGTAAATGTTGCCGAAAACTATATCACGATAACAATTGTCAATAAATACGAAATAAACATTTATTGGAGCGGTAACATGAGGAAAGGAAGAGGACGACAAGGGACAGAAGGCGTGCTTATATGCTTCGGTCTGTACGCATATGCTTTTGACGTTTCGCGTCCGGTAGCGTCCGTGAATGATCGCTCTGCCAATATTTAGATTACCGCGGCACTCGCTATAGCGCCGTTCGATGACGTTACGCTACATGCAGTTCCCTCGCGTTACGTTCATTCTTTGCGAACTTGAATAAAAACTTGATTGACAGGGGTGAAAAAAAGGACAATAGTGACGGGGCGGCCGAGTCCCGTCGTTGTTACGGAACATACAACCGTACATAACGTTCTCTCATCATAGGTCATAGCACAAATACCAACTCACCTGCATGCTTCTCCGACTTCGGCGTGGAAGCCATCGCTAGCCGGTAGTATGTCTTCACGCACCACGACACTATCTCACCATTTCCACGAATGACCGCATCGTAAACTACACACTAGTGGTTGCCGCGGCGTTTTCAGTCTGATATAAACCCGACGTGCACCGCTACATCTTCGTTTGTCAGCCATCTTTCGAGGCGCGAGCGCGCGAACTGCCATCGCGCGGTCGAGATTTGAACACTAGTTCAAAGTGCAAGATGGCCGACAGGATTGTCATTCGGGTGACATTTCACACGATTCCCGCTACGGAAAGCATTCCGCACGACTGAATTCCACGAACGGACCGTTCTCGTGGCTCTATTTGTCTAAGAGTATTTACTTCGATTATTCGTTTATTTTCAATGAGAAGCGGGTATCGTAAGTTTCGTTGTCTGAAAATCAATCGAAACAGCAGAGGCTAAGCCATTGATACCGTGTCATGCAAAAATCATCGTCCACCGATGCTCGAGTACTGAGTACAGACTGTGGCAAAAGATTCGTTCCATGGATTTCTACATATGTTACGTGTGGTTATGTGACAGTGACGGCCGAGGGTGTATAATATAAAATTGTGGATCATATATGAATAAAAGGACCATGTATTAAGAGATTCTGCTTTGCGACTATTGAGACTGTAATGGAAAGTATGAATTGTCGGAAATAAGTACTCGATAACAACATATGATAAGATGGGGAACTCTGGTTTGAAACAACATTATGAGACCGCGAAGAAAACCGGAACGTTGAAACTGTCGCAGAGGAAACTCGACGAGTTCCCGCAGAATTTGTTAGCTTTGACGCCACTTCTACGCACGTTAGATCTGTCCGAGAATAAATTCGTTCACATACCCGATGAGATACGGAATTTCACGCTACTGAAGCATCTGAATCTTAGTCATAATAAATTGATTGATTTACCCGAAGCCCTTGGACTCTTGACAAAATTGGAAGTTTTAAATGCAAGTTCGAACCAATTGAAGAATATCCCATTGTCTTTGTCGAACTTAACGCATTTGAAACAGGTCAACTTGTCCGACAACCAATTGACCGAATTCCCTCCTGTGTTTTGCGATGCAAAACTTCTGAACGTGTTAGACCTGTCAAAGAATCGAATTACGACGATACCTGACGCGGCTGGAGCGTTACATATGGTTGAGCTTAACCTCAATCAAAATCAGATATCGACTATATCCGAGAAACTAGCAGAATGTCCGCGCTTGAAAACATTAAAACTGGAGGAGAACTGTTTGCAACTGAACGCGATATCTACTAAAATTATGAAGGATTCAAAAATTTCTGTTTTATCCGTCGAGGGAAATTTGTTCGAAATGAAACAATTTGCCAATGTCGATGGATACGACAATTACATGGAAAGGTATACCGCGGTGAAAAAGAAAATGTTTTAAAATCCCGTTGTACGCTGATATGAACAAGAATTGTCATAGAAACTTTTTATAATACTTGAGGAAATACCGCCTCTCGTGTTCTTTCAATTATATTATACTCGATACCTGCGATAATGTCATTTTGTAGAAATAAAATCATGCTTAACTGGGCACTGACAGTTCTTCAATAAGTTGATGGATGCTAATATCGAGATTTATTGTTGTACAAAGTATCGATGCACAATATCGGTATTATATAAAAACTAATATTTCTGTAATAGACTGTATAGTTATTGCTATACGGATTGCAAAACTGTGCCTTTGTATTCCGTATTAAAATGCAGCGTATTATTAGAACGTACAAATAAGCGATATAAGATTTTGCAAAAAATTTGTTATTTTTTGCACTACATTCGATTTTACATGTTTAAAATAAAAGAAACCAATCCCAAATGTTCTTTATCCTCGTATACAATTTTGTATCTCACGAAATAAGCTCTGCATAATAAAAAATTATACGTCGAGTGTTTTCGAAAGTATTACCACTGTATGTATGTATGTATTTAATGTAAATCTGTAAAATTTTATTGTACAATGCGTGTAAATACACGTATGTATATACTGATACTTTTAAACAAAGTTTTTAGAAATAAACCGTGTTTATTTTTAATTTTGAAGATTTATTTATTTTAATGATAATCTCCTTTAATATATATTAAGTTATCTTATTGTCGGCAAAAAACAAATGAATCTGTTACACTCCAAAATGGCATGTCTACTATTTATTTTCTGTAGGATCGCTGAAATTAAATAAAAAGGAAAAAATCGACAGGTGAGGAAAAAAGTTACACGCTTCAACTTTCAAATTAGCAACCCTTCGCTTGCGAATACGTGAGTAGCCTAAGTATTTCTTTGTTAGAGGTATGAGAGATTTGTATTCTACTCTTTCGCTGTGGGAACAATTACAGCTAATTTTAGAGCGCATTCGATAGGTGAATAACCGTTAACTAAAAACTTATCAATTCGTTTTGACAATCTTATACTTTCTTTAATTGATTTGTGCATAATATATGTAATTTATCACTATATTTAAAATTTTGTTTGCAAATTAATTTCGAGAAGCTAATTATTGTTTAT